TACAGACCCAGACAACAGCACTGCCCATCCCTTTCCCTGTCCCCTTCAGGCCCAAGAATCGTCTCCCCACCACCGTTCAGTCAAACCCCTTCTCCGGCTGCCCCTGGGGAGAGGGGACGAGGGCTGGGGGTAGAAAAGGACAGTCTGGGGCCATGCTGCAGGTGGGGTTCCCACCTCCTTTCCCTGTGATCCCTGGAGGTGCAGCCCCGTGCCAGGCTGCTGGAGCAGGGGTGCTCGGGAATGTCTCACCTGTAGGTTCCGACCTGAGAATTTAGCCAAATCCCCAGACTCTGTGCACCTTAGAACAAGATCGAAGGGGGGCGCCTGGGTGGCTCAGTGGGGTAAGCATCTGCCTTTGGCTCAGGGAATGATCCCGGGGTCCTGGGATTGAACCCCGCGTGGAGCTCCCTGCTCAGTGGGGAGCCTGCTTCTCCCTCTCCCCTTGCCCCTCCCCTCAAATAAAGAAATAAAACCTAAAAAAAAAAAAAAAAAAAAAAAAGAACAAGATCAAAGGACTAAGAACTAGCCAGAGGCACCCCTGTGTGGCCGGGACTGTGGTAGAGGCTGGATGGAAGCACGCCAGCCTCTTTTCTCAGCTGGTGTTGAGCAAGTCCTCAACCTCAGTGGCCCCAATGTGGCAGATGAATGGGAGGGACAAGTAGACCTGGAAAGTCCCTTCCAGTGCTGGCATTCTAGGATCCCCTTGCCTCAAGCCTCCGTGTCCTAGATGCTGTTCCCTGTTGGGTCGGGAGCCAGGGAGACAGACGGCAAGCCCAGGAACAAATGAATCCTTCCAGAGCCCGCAGGTGGGGCTGGGAGATGCAACAGGACGCTGTGTTAGCAGGACTCGGGGTGGGGTGACACTGAGGTCTGGTGGTCCTGGAGAGCCACTCGGGGCAGGTGCGGACTAGTTGAGACTGGGATCAGAGCAAACCACTAGAGACAGCCCAGTGGGGAGGCAAGGGAGGTGCGGGGTGGCGGGGGGGGGGGCGGCAGAGGTATTACAGACCACGTGCTTAAGGAACAGAGGGCCAGAGTTGCTGGGATAAGGTGACAGAGGGGTGGATGGACGTTGGTCACCCGCAGTCCTGACGTCCACACTGCATCCTTGGATTTGATTCTAAGGGCAACACCGTGTGATGTGCCGGCGAGTTTTAAGCAGGAGAGTGACCCCATTTGATTTTTTTCTATCCTGGGGGGCGGGGCCCCAGGGGTTGCTCCCTGCCTTGCAGGGCTTGGGGTGGGGCTAGCAGGGGGTGCCCCAGCCATGAGGACTCAGCTTCCTGTGTGGGTGGCCCTTGCGAGCCAACCCAGCGAGCTCACATCCTTCCCAGGGACCTCCCCTGCTCCCCGGTCCGGCCCTGGTCCAGGTGAACCAGTTTTTCAGCCCAGTGAGCACCTACCCAGAGGCACGCATCCACGTTTGGGCCGTACGTGGGGAGCGCCCCATCTTCATTCTCGTGCCTAGTCTCATCCACGTGCTCAGGGGCTCAGCCACATTCGTGTCCCGTCCCCCACTGTCCTCACCTCCTTCCATTTCCTTCAGGGACTGAATCCCCACTCCAGACCCTTGTCCTGATCAAACCCAGGGCCGCTGTGCTCTTGCTTTTGGGGGACAAACGGATTGGCTGGGGGGGGGAACCTATTGATTGTGGGTTATGATTTGAGGAGGCAGCTTTTGGGGGATGGAGGTAGATCCCCACCATTTGGGGTGACACCCAAACACTTCTACACCATCAGCTCCTTGTCCTGCTCTCCCAAATTCCCCTCTCACTTTACCTTGCAGGCGCCCTGCCTCCTCCCCACACCCCACTGTGTGATTTTACCACTGGATTACAAGGTTCAGGAGAGGCCTCTCACCCCCACTCCCCCGTGGACTCTGTGTCCCAGAGGGGCCTGGAAATGCCACTTCCCAAACCCCTGAGCTTCAGTCCCCAAACCACCCTGCCCTGCTCCAAGATTAGCAGCCCCCTGGGGGCACAGTCTCGAGGAGGGGAGGAGAGGGGAGGAGAGGGGAGTGGCTGCCAGGTCAAGGCTGGGAGAACTTGGCTTGGAATTTGCATCTTATGACGCAAATTTGCAGCATCAGGCTCCTAGCATCCCCCAAGAGTCATCTGGGTGGCTGAGCGGAGCCCAGGAGGGCAGGCCTGACCTGCCTGACAGCTCCTGGTCCTCAGCCCAGGGCAGCACTGTGCCACACAGATGAGACAGCCCTGCCAGTCACCCACAGTCATACACAGGCACGACTGTCCCCAGCCTTCTCACCCATCCTGTCTCCATCCGCTTAATCAGTCCCTCTCCCCCAACCCCCATCCCACCTGGTGCTTACCCCAATCTAGCTCTCCTCTCCGAGTCTCCCCCTAGTCCAGCCCCATCCTTGATGTGCTTCTCAGCCCTGACCTCCTCACCCTCATCACACCAGCCCACCTACCATTAAGAATCACGTTTCAAGACCAGGTGTTGGGTACTGGGCCAGGAGGTGGGGAGAAAACCCAACCAAACAGAGGACAGTCTAATCCAGTGGGGAGGATGGGCACCAGTCAAAGATGTTAGCTGCGGTGCCGTGGAGGCATTAATCATGAAATCTGGCCTTCCTTGATGAAGCCCTTATGACGCTAACATCAGAAGGAAGAGGAAACTTAACCCGGTCCAAGTGGTAGAGTGGGACAGCATGTGCAAAGACCCTGTGGTTGCAAGGGGATTGATCTCACTTCCTTCATGCCTTTATTCAAAAGTCCCTTGTTGAAGGGCTCTTCCCTGACCCCTCTCTATCTAAAGTTTGCTCCCTTATATTTTATAATTTCCTTCCCTGCTTCTCCTCAGTACTCGATCACCAGCATAATATTTTATTTACTTCATTAGTAAGCTGTATTGTCTTCCTAGAATGGAAGCTCGAGGAGGAAGGGCGGTGATTTGCTTTGGGACGACACCTAGGAGACAGGCCATGGGAGCTACGTGAATGGATGACGTCATTATCGGGAAGGTCAGAAGGAGCAGCCACCAGGCCTCAGCTGGGGTTGGACGGCATGGGGGTGACAGGAGCACATTTGGGTCTTAAAAAGGTCATTTCAGTCCCTACCTCTGATCACAGCCCTGTCCCTAAGCACAACCTGAATTGCAACCTCCTCTCCATTCCTCACCCAATCCAGAACCTTCTGGAATCTTCTCTCCATCTCAGAATCCCAGCCCTCTTTGACGTTAACTTGGCCCCGGGCAAGTGTGACCTTCCCTCAATGGTGACAGAAGTGTGATACCTCAGAGGGAACCTGGGCTGGAGCTTCTTGGTTGGTGGGAGCTGCTCCTGGGAGGCAGAAGCAAAGAGGGCAAGTCCAAGCCGAGTGGGTGGGAATGGGACTCTCCCCTCACTGTCCCTGAGAGAAGACCTCCCACTCTCTCTCTTAATCTACCCCCAGTCCCGACACCTTCCTAAAGTCAGCTCTACCCTGGGGCCTTGGCCAGTCCTCGTGGCTCCTGGAAACGAGCCCCCAATCCCAACTCCCTTCCTGCTCCAGATTCTCCGCAGAGTGTAATGTCCAAACTGATAACAGAAAGATCATTTCCTTCTCTCCCTGCAAAGCTTCCCCAGAGCTTACTGCTCTGTGAGGATTTCATTTGTTCTCCGCATCTGCAGGGCCTAGAACAGTGCCTGAAACAGGTGTGCTCCCCGGACACCTCCTGAGGGGATGAAGGCCGGAAGGAATGAATGATTTGGTTCCGGACAAACCCAGTTCTATTAGAGCCCAACCTTGACCCCATCCTCTTCCTCGCTTCGTTGCTTTTTGGGGGTGGGGTGGGGCGGGGCGAGTACTTTGTGAACTTGAGGGATAGCATAGAACAAAATGCATCAGTTCCCTTCTGTACCACCCAGATCAAGACACAGAAGGTTCCAGCTCTCCACGTGGCTCCCCCCTCACAGGTGCTCTCAGCCGCCATCGCCGAGCTTTCCTAGGAACTGCCTGGTTTCGTCTGTTCTCGAACTTCCAATCGATGGAACGATAGAGCGTGCACTTTTTGCCTTCCGGCTTCTTTCATTCGTCTATATCGTCCACATCGCGGTTTGAGGTTTTTTTTTGTTTTGTTTTGTTTGTTTTTTTAATTGCTGGGTAGAATTCTGTTAGGACTATACCACAAAGTTCACGTCCACCCCGTGGCTTATTTCTTGTGTCCCCAGCTTCACTGCAGGTGTCATCCACTCTCGTACGCACCCTGTCCCTCGGCTCGGGGGACCCAGGCCTTGCAGGAGGCAACAGACACCCTCTCTCCCTCCCGGATCCCCTCTCCCTGGAGCCTCTCTGCGGCATCCACTGCTCTTCCCCTCAAGGGCTCTGGGCTCTGGGGCAGGAGGATGGACCAGCCTTCCCACAGCGGCCACTGCCTGTCCCATTGCCTGGAGAGGAATGGCCCATGGTCCGGCAGCGGGCCATGAGGACAGAGAGTTCCTGCTGTGCCCGTCTCCCTGGGCCGCCCCCACTGTGGGGGGGTGACCCGCTGCCCCTGGATGGGCTCAGCAGGGGTGCCCAGTGCTGTTGCCCATGGGGGCGGGCAGAAGGAAGGCGCTTATTAGGCCGATAATGATCTGGGAGCCCCGCCCAGCCCTGTCCCCCCACTTCCCTGGGGCCCGGGCTCAGGCTGGACTGGCTCCCCCACCCTGCAGCCTCCTTCATCCGAGGCTTGTTCCATCCACCCTCTCAGAAGCCAGCCCAGCATCCTGTCTGCCTGTCCTCCCTGCCGGCTGCTGGAGGGCTGGCCGTCCAGACACCGGCTCGCCCGCGGGCCCGACTTCACCCCGCCCCAGCCTGCCTGGCTCCCCGCCCGGCCGCCAAGGGCAGCACCTCTCCAGGCTCCCGGCTGCCCCTGGGCCAGACGTCCCTGCCTCAACTCTCCCTCTCGGGAGGCTGGCCCTGTCCACGTCTCCCTGCGTCTGGCTTCTCCTGCCTGGCCTGGGCCCCCGCTGTGTGGCCCCCCTCAGTGTCTGCACTTGAGCCCTCCCTCCTGCTTCCTCAAGAGCAGCCATGGCCGCCTACAAAGTCAAGGTGGCCACGGGTACCGACCTCTTGTCGGGAACGATGGACTCCATCTCGCTGACCATCGTGGGGACCCGAGGAGAGAGCCATAAGCAGCTGCTGAACCATTTCGGGAGAGACTTCGCGACTGGGGCGGTGAGTGAGTGCGTGTGTGGGGGGTGTGCATGTGCATGTGTGTGTGTACACATGAGTGTGCTCTGCGTGTATGTGGTCTGTGTGTGTACATGTGAATGTGTGGTGTGTGTGGCATGTGAGTGATGTGTGTGCTGCGTGAATGTGCGGCATGTGAGTACTTGTGGTTATGTATGTGTGTGTATGGAGTATACGTGCGTGTGTGGTGAAGTGAATATGTGTGTGGTGTATGAGTGTGTGTGCTGTGTGGTGTGTGAGTGTGTGCCATGTGAGAGTGTGTGTGCTGTGTGTGTGAGTGTTATGCGTGTGCTGTGTGAGTGTGTGGAATGTCAAAGTGAGGTATGTGTGTGTGTGGAGTGTGAGTGAGTGTGTGTGGAGTGTGAGTGTGTACCATGTGAGTGTGTGGAGGATGAGTGTGGTATGTGTGTGTGGTGTGTGAAAATGTGTGTGTGGAGCGTGAGTGTGTGGAGTATGAATTGGTGTGTAAGTGTGTGGTGTATG